TTCCATCCCTATTAGATACTAATATTAATGAGGATGTGAACTTAAAGTCCTCGGATGATAATATTGATACTGAAGCTACTAAATTCTATCCCATTCTTGATCATTATTGCATTGGATTAGTTCCATAAAATCATCCAGTAAGTCATTATTTCTGAATGTCAAACTACATACATGTCATTTTAAGCAGAGTTCGTGGTTCAGACACTTTTATTCGGGGTTGAAACTTCTCATCACAGTAGTTAATTATTTTTTACACATGGCTAACATTTCACAAATGAAGTAGTCAACACAGCAACATTAATAGATAAGGTGAAGAGTGCACACAGTTTGCACGTGGTTGGGAATTCATGAGTCACACGTTTATCTTTTTTAGATAATGGAGACCTGTCGTACATGACCGCCTCAGCTTAAATGGACTGTTTATCATGCATCTCATGGCTCATGGTGAGCTTGTCATGTCGGATGGCTTTCCTTGTCAACCAGGAGATAGGGATATTGGTATATTTTTTTGTTTAAAGCCATGTTCGAACTTTCTGTCCTACATCCGTAATTTAATAACACCGCAATGTCTCTTACTCTTTGTATTCAGCCGATCATTAGTTAGTCTGAGTCTCATTTGTCTGAGCAGGATAAGGGAAAATGGGGCTTTTATTCACTTCGCTCAATCTACATAGATTCTGAAAGGAAATTAACTGAATTTATTGCACTGAACACTTTTAAGACCAGACTGAGGGTACTTGAGACGGACTATTTAGATTATAATTCAATTTCTTTAATTGTATCTTAAGTGTTGTTCTAAAATTTAATTATCATTGTGTTCTGTTTATTTTCATTCAAATGTATTCTTTGCTGTGGCCTAGGACAAGGGGTCTTCAACGTTTTCCAAGGACCCCCAAACTGATGGCGAGATGGAGCGGGGACCCCCTAACTATATATATATTGTATGAAACTGTGTTAAATCAAACTGCTCCTATAGTCACTCTATTACAGATGTAGTAATGTAACAAAAGTAATTTCTCCCTGGGATTATTAAAGTATTTCTGATTCTGATTCCTGGTGGATGGGACAGGTGTTGTGAATGAAACGGTGCCCAGCTTGAAAGAGCTGTGTGTGTCGCTGAATGTGTGCATTGATGAGTGAAAGACATCTTCTGCCTCCATTTATCTGTTTACTACAGTCTGTTGAATTAATGTTAATGTGGATTTAAAGGCATTTTAATTATTGGAAAAAATTGCAGAAGGATATATAAAAAAAAAGTTCATCAACTAAATATTTTGCGACCACCCATGCAGTACCTCCGTGGACCCCCTAGGGGTCGCGGACCCCCTGTTGAAGACCTCCGGCCTAGGATGCTATTGAAAAAGGTTTTTAAATCTCAACACAACTTTACTGATTAAATAAAGTTTAAAAAATCATGACACTGTGCCATATTCTATTCTAAGATTTCATTTTCATGTTCACTTGTCTGTGATTTCATCAAAAAGCTGTTATATATTAGCATAGTAAACTAGCCCCACCTGCCAGCGGACAAAATCCTTTTTGCCTGCTAGTTGATCAATGCCCGAAGCCCTAGAACTGGCGGACCAATCACAACGCAGAGATGTGTTTTAAATTATTTTGATGCAAAGCAGGCAGGGATTTGAGGGCGGGACGACAAAGCTGCACGATGCCGGAAAAAGCACAAGGAAGATGGCAACAACTATCGAACAGTTCTCGTTTGACTCAGCTTTGGAATCAGTTTTGGAAGGATTAGACTTGCTTAAGCTCAGAACATCAACTCTAATCATTCAAACTCCATTTCAAAATGGGTTCTGAATCCCTGAGACATAACAATTTAACAACAATTTAATAACCAGAAAGACATATATTAATTAAATTAACTATTGGTCTCCACAGAGAGACTAAAAAACTAATTAACACATTTGTTACTTTTTTGATTTCACATTAAACATTGACCTGATTCGCCTATTTATAATAGAAGCCGTGATAAAAGCAGAGGGGTCTGCTCCTTTCATACCCATTTCTTCCAGACTCATGAGTTGTCCTGAGGCGGTGGGCACAGCCGTCTGAACAGGAAGTCCATTTTGGTGGAGAAAGGACATTGCATGGGTCTGCACCTCAATGATGGTGATGTTCTTACTGTGCTCTGAGTTCATGATCTTTAGGACGAACTCTCCACCCTCACAGGGAGCCACGTAGAGATTCTGGTCATCATAGCTGGGCAGTGGGCGCATTTCTGCAGCTGTCAGATTGTAGAGCCTCTTCATGAGCTCACAAACCTGAGACTGGCTGAGGTTGGGCTGGGCGTGCTTCACTGGCATCTCTGCAAAATAAATAAATGCATTAAAAATAGGCATATAAACAGAGGAAACAGAAAGAATAAACTGCAGCTTTAAATAATGATCAGCACGAGGGCTTTCTGATAATAAACTGAACTGAAATTAACATCAAAGTTATACTGATTTTACTGGCACTTCTCAAATTATCTAACTGTGCTACAGTGACTGTTGTTTTTTCACTGAGAGTTTTATGAGATCCCTACTCAGAACACGTTGACAGAGGAGGCAGAAGTGAGTAAACTCCGAGTAAAAACATCTGCGGATTAAAATCTTAACTTGTTAAATAAATACTGACAAGGCAATTTAGTAGCATTAAAATAAAAGCCAATAACATGAGCAGAGACTCAACTCTTAATACTTATCTAACGGTACACTACCTTTAGCTTTGAAAAATCATGGAAAGTCACTGCGGGAAAAGAAGAGCACTTCCGGAAAAGTCAGACAGCTGAGATTCATCTAATCAACACTTCCGGTTAGCTCCTTCAAAATAAAAACATTAAAAAAAATTTTTTGGGTTTCAGAAAGAAGGAAAAAAGAAATATGAGAGTAACACAAAGCACAATGAGCTTTAAAAGAAGCTTTAACTTTTAAAAACATAATTTTACTAATCTTTATTAGTTTTGTTGTGCATGGTTTCATAGTTGTTAGCTGTAGATTGGCTTTATACCATACTCCAAAAAATAAAACAGTGTAATGTGCAGTGTTG